AACTTTTATTAGTAGGTACTATGAAAAGGCAATGGCGGGCAATAGATGATATTTCTCCCACTGATGAGCCAATTAGATATTTAGGCATTTATCTGGGCCACAATAAAAGGTGTAATAAGAAATAAAATTTTGATGATAAGATAACTAAAATTTCAAATATTCTGTCAGTCTGGAAATCACGTAATTTAACTTTCAAAAGAAAAGGTTATTTTAGTTAAGGTATTTGGTGCATCAAATCTGGTGTATTCCATGACTGCGATCTCAATCCCGAATAATGTTATTAATGAGGCTAGGTCTTTGCTATTCAATTTCTTGTGGAGGGGTAAAATGCATCATATAAAGCATAATACCCTAATTGGTAATTATGTTCAAGGAGGCTTGCGATTATGGGGGTTTGCGATTTTTACTCCAGTGTAATTATGATTGGGGCCAAATAAATGGTAGAATACTTCCCTTTTACATGGATATTATAAGATATTGGAGTGAGATAAATAAACAGAAGGAACCAAGTTGTGTACAGGAAATTATAACGCAAACAATTTGGAATAATAAATATATTTTGATAAATGGGAGCTCTGTATATTACAGTAAATGGCACATCAGTGGGGTAAGATACATCTGTAATTTGGTAGATAATAACGGTAAATTTCATACTTGCGATCAGTTTACTGAAAAATATAATATGCTGTGAATTTTATAACATATACAGGTATTATTTCGGCAATTCCATCAAAATGGATTTTTTTTTTGAAATCTAATGCCCATGTGCAACTGGACAAAATGTTCAAAATACAATTGATTATGGGAAGGGTAAAACAAAAGATTTCTATAAAATACTGATAAAAAGTAAATTTGAACCCTCAAGCTCAGAAACTAAATATGGGTCAATGATTTATTTGCAGGACATTTATGGACAATTTGGGAGTTACCTTATAAGGTAACAGGTGAAGAAAAAATGAGAATTTTTCAGTTCAAAATTTTGCACAGAATTGTAACAACAAATTTATTCTTATACAAAAATAACTTAAGAACAGACAGTTTGTTTAAATATTGTAAAAATGAGGAAAATTTAGAACAAACATGGCTGCCACGTGGTTTGACCGGACTCCACACAAGGAGGTTCGTTGATTCTGTTCTAAACCTTTTGGATTTCGGCATTCCTATGATGTATGCTTAGAAGGAAAAGATGTATAATAATAAGATTATTACGAGAATACCTCAAAGTATATACCTCCGCTGCGCGTCTGTCGATACTCCAGCTGTATTGTCTTCGTACATACTTTGAGGTATTCACATAATAACCTCATATTATACACTGGTATAAAGTAATTTAGATGTCATAGCGCATAGTAAAAGTCTAAGAACAGGCATAATAGCGTGCTATTCAGTTTGTCAATACACACAGCTAGTTTATGAATTACGAAACGTGCTGTGTGATCATACATATTTGCCGCACTGCATAGCCAAATAAATGGTAGAACGAAATATGATAAAAGAATGCGGACACGAAAAATCCTTAATAGCTGACGGGTACACTTGGATCTTTATATTACGTCATTTGAGTTGCGTCTTAACAAAAATTGTAAGATATACATTTAGTAAGTTGTAAACATGAACATTGTTCGGTAATTGTGGTAAGTATCTCATCCATGACATGTTATGCTGGTGCTTACTCTGTGACTATATAGTATGCAGTGGTTACGCATCGTTTTTTCGTACACTCGATATTCTGTAACATTGTTGTTACAAACTAGCTAAATTATATATATCTATACATGTATCAAGCATTCCATGTTCTGTATCTCGTTACATTTATTCAAAAATTTAAATAAATAACACAGAAAATAAATAACGTAAAATATGTATAATGTTTTACTAGTTTAATGACTGAACTATCATTTCTCGTCAATTGTCTGCGGCCTTGTTACTTTTCAAATAAGTATGTTCAAGGATATTTACCCTACATTAGTATCTACTAACATAATACCTAATGGAAACGTCAGAGAAGTGTCTCCTCAGAATACTTTGTAGAATTGATTTTGTAATTGATTCTCTGAACTCAGCATTTTGTATTCCATCATATTGATAGTATCAGAACACACAGATTGAATTAAGTCTACCTCTGAGTAGCTAAGTACATGCCTCCACGACTCAGCTGTTGCAGTTGAATTCCGACTTCTCTTCAGACGTCCTTCACTTAATTCCTCGTGCATAGTTTTCTCTTGTATCCAAGATTTCACTTCAAATGGTAAATCCATTTGTAGAAATTTATATATATCTTCAGCCATTGCGATTGGATCGGACGCGAAGTCCTCGTATCTAACAAGTTTGTAGCGACCATTCAACCATGCTGGCAGATGTTTAGCATATGATATCATGTCAAGCACATGTTTACAATCATGTGCAACGTGTTTGATTAAGTCGCCTTCTTTGTCGATTATTTCTCGCCGCCGAACGTCCCAGAAGCCTTTACATGTTCTTGAGCAAGCAATTCCTCTTGGATCACGGATGAGGTGAATAATTTTCAAATCAATTTTTTCTTTCAATACTAATGGTTTTAACATTTCCAGTGATTGGAGACGTAATACTTTCATTGCTATGTAGTTATATTTGTTACAACCCTGAACAAATTCGGACAATACAGTTCTTTGGCAGCTAAATCCCCGATGACAAATTTCTTTAAAACAATTGCTCTTCGATTTCGTTAGTGAGAAGTTTTTTATCATATCTAAGTAGTAATCCGGGAACCTACAGTTATACAGCTCTTTTAGAGTTGACGTGGCTCTGATACTGGAATTCCACGTCGGCTTATCTTGTGTGTCAAATAATGGCTCGAAAAAGTAACACATATTCGGATTCTGGTTGAAGAGTTCACCGCAAAATGTGGAGCCTCCCTTGTAACTGGCAACCAATATTACTGCTGGCCGAGTTGGCGTCTCGTTATATAAGGCTGAAGGAGTTTGTTGTATAAACATATCGCTGGAAAGTACATTCCTTCCATTCATGTGGGATATCGCAATTATTGCCAGCAATGTCGATATTAGCAGTGCCATCCGTATATATCGCACTTGTCTCATTGTTAACACTATGTATAAGTGCACTGATTTGATCAATGTATGCAGCATGTGTACAGACGGATACCACAATTATACACGTGTCGGTGACATGCGGCACTGTTCAAAATTGTCCATTCAGCAGTAATATTGTGTTTTAAACCAATCTGATTAAAATTTGATGTAATGTGCGTCGTGTATTTCTTTTTAATTTCATATATTTTATTATTATACATCTGTCACCACAACGCCATAAGTTATAGCGTGTCGTAATTTTGGTGTATTTTAATCCTACCATATTAGCAAATGCGAATTCCAAATATGAATATAATAAAACAAACATGGCTTCCACCAGAGTTTGACCGGACTTTGGATTTCGGCATCCACATGGTGCATCCTTGGAAGGAAAAGATGTATAAAAATAAGGTTATTACGAGGATAACTCAAAATATGCTGCGCGCCGGTCGATACTCTATCTGTACTGTCTTCGTTTCCTCGTAATAACCTCATAATATTAGTATTATATATATTTTTTTATTTAAGTACATCTTATTTTTTTCGCTACATTATAAGTAGATCTCCTAAGACTTGTTCTTGCCAACAAATCACATACTTTCTTTCATAGCGCACCCGGTGACGTCACCGGTCATAGACACGTCACCAACTTACGCTCAAATACAATGGCGGTAAATGTCGATTGTTCATCAAATTCTGTCAATATAATGAACAAGAACTGAGAAACTGAACTGTTTTGGGTTAAAATAAAAATATAACAATTCTCCGTATTTCGAACACAATTATTTTAAAGCATATCCGTTTAGCTTCATCATTGAGCGTAGATGTTTGCTGGCGACCGTCACACAGCTTAAAGCTGTTCGGTCAAATTAGTGTGAGATTTAATTGCTGTATTGAGAAATATATAATATCGTAACTGTTTACAGTTTTCTAATCAGTGTGATTATTTTCCCATTCTAGTTAATTATGTCCAATGTTTGGTGTGCAGTTGAAGCCTCAATCAACACCAGACGATGGCTGAATAAACGAATCTTTGCTGGCGAAGATGCTGCAGGTATTTATTGAAATGACAAGACCTTTACAATGATGTGGAATCACAATTGTGAAAAAGACTACAATTTTTTAGTAATGGTTCATGCACGTAATTTATTGATTTTTTACATGAATTGGTGGAAGAATTATAATATACAGACATATTGCCTGTGGAGTGCCACAATGAAAAGTGTGAAATGAGCGAGAAACTGACACTTTCTCGCACGTTAGCTGTACTTGATATAATCCTCGCCAATAACCGTATGATTTTTGCCGTGGCAGCGGTGAGATATATTTTATTAAAAGCCTTAAACTTAAAACAGTTTAATGACGAGAATGCAAAGTTTCACTAATTATTGGCGCGGTGTGAAATGGTGGGAATTATCAAAGATACAAAAATGTATCAACATGGCGGATACCTACAAAATATCATCAATGTAATTTTGACAAACAGTGAGAAGTTTACACTTCACCAATTTGAGGTAAAATTGTATCTTACTGCAAAATCAGTACATGTAGTTGCACTCAATGAAAGTAACTACTTTATACAAAAGGGGATTTTTAATTCGCAGTGGTACTATTATTTGACAGAATTAAAGAAATGTAAATTTTTCAAAATATTTTCTGCTGGAGAGCCAGGACTTCTTGATTTAAAAATGTATTGAAATGAAACCTACAACCTCATAACACGATATCTTATCAGGTACAATGTAATTGTTTGTTAGTTATTTCTCAGAAATCAGAAAATACGCTTCGATCACGTTTTCCGTAGAACAGTCTGGGAAAGAATAGAATCAGACAAAGTACATATAACAAGTGGATTAGATGAAATATGCAACCTACTTTCAAGATAACTTATTTCTGTATGAGAATTTCATCAAATATACAAATATATAATTGAACAAATAATTCCTTATTAACCAGATTGGTTTTAAACAAATCCACCTAACGTAAATAAATTAATATTTCCTACAATAGAACACACCACGATACGACAGACATGAAATACATGATATTGTTGTGCCAAATTCCAAAAGTCCAGAATATTGATCAGTATTTTTCTATTAGATAGAATATGACTTCGGTGTCTGTGGTATAATATTTTATTGGGTATCCACGATGCATATGAATACACATAAGTGGGTCATTTGGATTTACACTGTTCAACTAAACTGCATAGATAAAGGAGGTTGAGTGTTGGTATCTTAAATGCTGATAACCGATGTCTGGCTGCGTTACTCATATAACCCACTTAGTATACTAAATATTGATTCGGTGTCATATAATGTCCAATCCTAGATGAATTTCGATACTATCAGAAAAACACTTCTACAAATATACATTTCGTAAGCACAACAGTCACACGTAAATACAGGTGCACATACACTTTATTTTGGAATATGTTTAGTTAACGCAGGTAATTTACAGTAAAATAACACCATATTTTTATTACCGGTTGCAGCTTCTATGGTGTCATTCTAAAACCTGCATAACAAATGTTATATCTATATTTTAAATAGGGAATGTCTGAATTGTTTTTGATGTGTGTAGTGGGTCATATTGGACGGACATGACAGTTGCTTGGACAGGCCAGATACATCGATGGATCCATCTCGTTGTGCAGACGCGGGATATGAGTTTCGTATTAATAACAATGTTAGAATACTGTACATACTGACACACCAATACTAATATAAAATAATAAAATCCTGTGCAAGATGTGGTTTGACAACCATATTATATTTTATTAAAATAAACCAAATTTGGTAAACACAGAACATTATTTGTGCTTATTCACAGCTGGTCCATATACAGGTATTATTGTGCCCTGTATATTTTATGTATTTAAAATTATAACTACAACTGCTATATCTCTTAAATGAATACTACTTTATTAAACATGTGATTTGCGTTTGTAAAATTTGATATATATGATTTACGTTACATATTATCATAACAACATGGTTGAACATATTGACGCTCATTCGTACCTACATATAGCGTTGTGTCTGCAAAGTACTTAATAGAATTATGAGATCAAAAAATACCAATCTATTAATTTTGCCGACTGCTGCGCCATCTGGAAGTTGGTTATTACAAATCTTGGTAAAATATAACGTAGTTTGATAAGCGTTTCTATTGTGTGTACTTCCATAACAACAAATCATGTACTCGCTGCGGAAGAAATTTGCTCTCATTTGTGTCATTCTTACTACTGTGATGTTATTTATCAATTATTTGAGAATTGTGGGAGAACACGAGTGCACCATCTCAGCATCTCTTGTACGGAAAGTATGCAACATTTCTATGGTTGATAGTAATAATGCAGATAACGACATAAAAGACCTTCATCGTTCCGTAATGTCGAAAGACGTGTCTTACAAGCCAGTTGGATTATTACAAGCACATCCGCATGACGTAATGCCTCGTATAGCTCATTTCACCCTTGCCGGATGTAGCCTTAAATTCCAGTTCTTCCATCTGATTTGTCTCGTTAGCGTCTACAGAGTTGTTAAACCTACTCGTATGATGTTTCATACCGACTGTGAACCAACAAACAATGAGTTTTGGGATGAAGTTAAACAAATTCCAATTCTTGAAGTAGTACGCTGGCCAACGCTTCATTCGATTTTCAATCACACTATTGAAAATAACTGGCACAGGAGTGATGTTCTTCGTATCCTAGCTCTACGCAAGTATGGAGGTTTTTACACCGATCTTGACTTTTGGTTTATAAAACCTGTGGATCCGTTATTTCATTATGATTTTGTGGTCGAAAGATGTGGGGGTGATAAAATATGTAGTGGAATACTTTTTACTCGAAATGACTCATTACTTCTGAACCTATATTACGAAAATTACAAGCATTATGACCCTAGTTGTTTTTTGTGCAGTAACACAGAAGCATTGGCAAAACTTATATTGAAACATCCACATGCAGCCCATATTGAGCATCAAACCTTAAAAGAAGACAATTGGGAAGAGCAATATCTGCAACCGATGAATTGGACAAAACAACGCTATAGCATAATGTATTTTTTCAGAGAGAAACGACGATACGGATACCCAATTGTTAACAGAGAAAACATCAAATACATGAATAATACTGTTGGTGAGATTGCAAGATATATTTATTATGGTGTTACTGAGCCAGCACTCGAAACCGACCAATTAAAACCATGGTACCACCAGCTACAAGATATTAAAAGTCAACCCTTTCAAGTAAAAATAAGTTAAATAATGTTTTATTCTCTACTCACTGTATAATCATTTCAGCTTACAAATAATACATACTATAAATATCAGTTGAAAAAAAACCTGCGTCTACTTACAATGCATCACACAGAAAACTCTTATTCTGAGCGTATATGTATGTGAATCTTCTTACAATTAGTTTTAATGAAATTGTGATTGCAGATGAAGTTACATAACACCTGTGAAGTTTACAGCCACAACAAGGAATCAGTGGACAATTAACACACCATCCAAATCTAGATTATATATGCCCAGATATATTTACATGCTATCATATAAGGGACGAGGTGATATTGTGATATTGTTTTTATTGTTAAGTTGTATGAATTAAATGTGGATATTGTAACAGTCCACAGAACATCTGTAAACATGCAAATCTCGATCACATTCTAAAGTAACATCTGTCCACTACTATGTCAAACTGTTAGTTTTCAAAAACAATGGTTGCAATATTACTATTCCGGAAATTTTTATTGTTATAGAATTTCCAATTTAACACATATTGTCGATATTGGGGGACACACTTGTCAACTGCGTAGAGACATTGGAATATATTATGTCTCATTGCTTGGCGATTTATTTCTTGTTTCGTGTCAATTTGAATTTATACATAGATATTAGAAAGAAAGAAACGTCGTGTAATTTCACCTTCCTATATTGTGATCTGCTTTGCAGTAAATCACAAATTCAGTGATTAT